CCTCGAACTCCTTCTGCCACGCGGTGTCGCGCGGGTAGCGCACGCCCGGGAGGCTCTCCCGCGCCGCCTGCACGCGGAGCAGCTCGGAGGCGAGGTCGCGGACGGCTTCTTTCACCTGCTCCTTCTGGTTCTTCCACCGCTTGCCGCCGAGCGGCGAGAGCTTCGGCTTGCCGGAGAACCCGCCGATGTACTTCTGCACCTTCTGAGCCTGGAACACCGGCACGTACAGCCGCGACTGGCCCGCGAACTCGAGGAGCAGGTACTCCTCTTTCAGCACCTGGGCCTTCTTCTTACTCTTCGAGGCGTGCGCCTTGAGCACCGCGTCGGCGTGCTCCTCGGAAGTTTTGCGCGCCTGTTTGGCGTCCATCTGCGCGAGGCCGCGGTATTTGGCGATGCCGTGGTCCGAATGGACGACGAGGTCGCCCGGCTCGAACCCCAGGAACGCCTCGGACTGCGACGCCCGCTTGAGCCCGGACTTGCTCTTTCGGCGCACCTGGTAGCGGTGGAGAAGCTCGTGGTACGCGACGACGGCGAAGGGGGCCTCCCCTTCCCAGACAAAGCCCCGGTGGACGTACCGCTGGATCGAGGCAATTTTCGCTCCCGGCGCGAACTCCGCGACGAGTTCGCCAAGGCGCGAGACCTCGCCCTCGTTCTGGCACGCGACGAGCAGGTCGAAATCGCCCGCGATCTCCGCCAGCTCGCCGACCGCCTCGCCCACGTCGTTCGAGAACTCGCGGAGCTTGCCGACGGGCAGCTCGACCGCCCCGGGCTCGGATGACCCGCCCATCTCGCTCATCTGCACGACGCTGGACGTGCGCTCGCGCATCGTCCGGAGCACCGAGGGCACGCCGAAGATGCCGCCGCCGTCGATCGCCCTGTCGTGGTACGCCCGCCCCTGCTCGGTCAGCTCGTGCACGTCGCGGATCACCGCGACGTCGTCCGCGTCCGCGTACTCAAAGAGGCTCACGACGCCCTTGCCCGTGAAATCCCCCTCCGCGATCGCGCCGGTGCCGTAGAGCTCGACCGCCTCGAGCCTGCGGTCCGAGCCCATCGTGTCCGTATCGATCTCGTGGATGGACTCGATCTCGTCGCCGAAGAAATCGAGCCGGACCCCCGCGCCGGGCGTCGACTCGCTCACGCGCTTGCCGTCCGGCGTGACGGTCTCGACGGTGGAGCCGCGGGTGAGGATGTCCACGATCCCGCCCCGGACCGCGAAATCGCCCGGCTCCTCGACGGAGTCCATCCGGTTGAACCCGGCGTCCGCGAGCCACCGCGCGACGGACTCGAGCGAGACCTCGCCGCCCGTCTCGAGTCGGAGGCACAGCTCGTCGAGCCGCTCCCGCGACGACACCCCCTGCATCAGCGCCGAGATCGGGCACACGACGACGCGCGCCCCCTCGCGGGGCTTCACGAGCTTCCGCGCCACGCTCAGACGCTCCGCGAACAGGTCGTCGCTCACGCCCGTCTCGCCCGGCAGGATCTCCAGCGCCGGGAAGCGGATCGCCTCGAGGCCGTGGGCGGTCAGCTCGTCCGCCGCTTCGTCCGCCTCGTCGAGGTGCGCCACGGCGTAGAACACCGTCCGCCCCAGCTCTCTGGCCAGGGCGCCGACGGCGAGGGTCGTCGAGCTGCCCGAGCCCCCGAAGGACACGACGTCCCCGCCCTCGCGGACCTTCGCGGCCAGCGCGTCGAGCGAGGGCTCGCCCGCGATGCGTTCGATGATGTCCGTGGTTCGTGCGCGCATGGTCGTGCATCGAGCCGCGCCCGGAGGGGCGCCGCCGACGGTGGTGGGGGTCCTTTTCTTCGGGCGTATCGTAGCCTCAGCGTCGAACGACGGCGTGGGCCTCGATATTCATGACGCGGCGTTCGCCGATGCCGCGGACGCGCGTGAGGCCATCGAGCGATCGGAAGGGTCCGAAGCGCTCGCGTTCCGCGACGATCCCGCCCGAGAGCGCGGGGCCGATGCCGGGCAGGAGCTCGAGCTCGTGCGCCGGGGCGGTGTTGACGTCCACGCCGGTGCTCACGGGCATCTCGATGCTGACACGGGCGTCCGTGCGGCCCGCGGTCGAGAGCACGCCGGTCGCGCAGCACACCGCGAGCGCGAGCCCGCAGACCACGCGGGCGCCGTTGCGCGTCCAGTCGTCCGGTTGGGTGGCGTTCACGTGGAGGTCGCGGCCTTGAACATCGCCGCGCCCTCGATGAGCTTGCGGGGGAGCTTGTCCGCGTGGAACGAGGCGAGCAGCTCGCCGGCGCGCTTGAGCGAGGGTTTGGCGCGCCCCTCTGCGGAGATGAGCCCGCCGGAGGGCATCTCCGCGCCCTCGGCCTGGTCGTACAACGCCTGCCAGCACACGCTCTTGACGTGCGGCTTGGCGAGCGCGATCGTCATCGCCCCGGTGAGCCAGTCGGCCTGGGCCTGCGCGTTCCACGGCTCCTCGTGCCAGCGCCCCACGGAAGCGCCGTGCTTGATCGTGTCGTTCGGCTCGAGCGCCTCGCTCGGCGCGCCGAGCGCGGTGATGTGCAGCGGCTTGCCGAAGACCGTGTACTGGTCGATGAGGTCCGAGAGCATCATGAGGTCGCGCGTCGCGCGGCCCTCACGCGGCTCGCCCATCTGGATCCGCAGGCCGTACGCGTCAATCGCGAGCCCCGCCTCGTTGAGCATGTCCGCGTAGAGCATCGGGTGGAGGCTCTTCGCGTTGCGGCTCACGTGCTCGCCCCAGGGCATGTCCAGCTCGACGATCACCTCCGCCGTCGGGTGGAGCTTGCGCACGAGCAGGACGGCCAGGCGCGTCAGGTCCAGCATCTCCTGGATCTTGAGCTTGAACCGGTCGTTGATGTTCACCCCGGAGCACACCGTCCACCGCGTCACCGTGCGCCGGTAGCGGGTGATCACGCGGCGCATGTGCTCGTACGCGATCTCGCGGAGCGTGGAGTAGTCGTGCTCCCAGACGTAGAGCCAGTCCGGCACCGTCCCGCGCGAGAAATCGAGCAGCGGCCCAGCGACGACGGGCATCTTCGCGGTGCGCACGGCCCACTCGATCCACCGGTCCGTCGGCCCGAAGGTGTACGACCCCTCGCGCGCCTCCAGCTCGCTCCAGCGCAGGGGGCAGGAGACGAAATCGAAGTGCTTCGCGAGGATCTTCTGAAGCGGCGGCGCGAACTGCGCCGTGTCCACCGTGCACCCCGCCAGCACCGGGTCCAGCTCCAGCTTGTCCGCGAGGATGTTGCCCTCTTTGTCCTTCGGCGGGTCGAACTTGCGGAGGAGCATCCGCTCGGCGTTGAGCACCGCGAGCTGCTCGCTCGCCTCGATGCAGAGCAGGAGGGACTCGTGGGCCGCGTCGTGCTGCTCCTGGGTGTACTCGCCGTGGCTCGAGCCCATGCCGTGGCCGACGAGCGCCCGGGTGAACGCCTCGCGGGCGCGCTCGAAGAGGCGCATGACTTCGGTCTCGGGGGAGAGCCCGGAGAGCGCCCAGCTCTCCAGCTTGTTCAGGAACATCATGATCCGGTGGCGCGCCAGCTCGAGCGTGAGCAGGTACGGCATCTCCCGGGGCGGGAGGAGGCACGTGCGGAGGTTGAGCATCCCGAGCGGGCCGGCGTCGTACTGCAGCTCGAGCGCGACGGCGTCCCCGGACTCCTTCCGGCACACCAGCTTGTCGTCCTGAAAAGAGAGCGTCGCGCCGACAGGCAGCTCATCTTTCCCGATGATGCGCTGGTTGCGGATCGGGTCCGGGTGGTCGCCCACACCGAAGAGCTGGAAACTCAGTACCACGTGCAACCTTCTCCCGAGACAACCACTTACACGGCCCGGCGGCCCGAAGACACACCATTCTCTGCGCGGAGCCAGCTTCCGCAAGCCTTTCCGAACAGATGCCGTCAAAAACGTGCCCATCCGCTCCGAAAAGATGATTCCGCACACCCGCGGCCGGATTTCGACGTTCCCGCCACCAAGGGTACCATTGGACGATGCCCGAGCAGACCGACTATTCCCAGGCCGTCATGAGCACCGATCTCCCCCTCGCCAACCGCCGCCAGGGGAAGGTGAGGGACATCTACGACGTCCCAGCGGACGCGGGAGGCCCCCCCAGGCTCCTCATCGTCGCCACCGACCGACTCTCGGCCTTCGACGTGGTCATGCCCACGCCCGTGCCCGGCAAGGGCAAGCTCCTCACGGACATCTCCACCCGCTGGTTCGAGTGGATCGAGGGCAAGGGCCTCGCGAAGACCCACGTGCTCTCCACCGACCCCGCGGACGTGCCCGGGCTGACCGATGAGCAGCGCGAGCAGGTCGAGGGGCGCATGACGCTCGGTCTGCGCTGCCGCGTGATCCCGGTGGAGTGCGTCGCCCGAGGCTACCTCGAGGGCTCGGGCTGGAAGGACTACCAGGCGACCGGCTCCGTCTGCGGCCACGCGCTGCCAGCGGGCATGAAGCAGTGCGCCAAGCTCCCCGAGCCGATCTTCACCCCCGCGACCAAGGCCGAGCTGGGCGAGCACGACGAGAACATCGATTTCGAGAAGGCGTGCGCCGTCGCGGGTCGCGAGCTGATGACGAAGCTCCGCGACACGACGCTCGCGATCTACAAAGCCGCGTGCGAGCACGCGGAGGCGCGGGGGATCATCCTCGCGGATACGAAATTTGAATTCGGCCTGCCCGTCGACGAGCAGGGGAACGTCACGAGCGATGAGCCGGTGCTCATCGACGAGGTCTTCACGCCCGATTCGTCGCGCTTCTGGGACGCGAGCCGGTACGAGCCGGGGCATGAGCAGAAGAGCTTCGACAAGCAGTTCGTCCGCGAGCACTTGCAGGCGCTGGTGGACGATGGCAAGTGGAACAAGTCCGCGCCGGGGCCGGAGCTTCCGGATTCGGTGATCGAGGGGACGCTCGCGCGGTACCGGGAGGCGCGGGACAGGCTTTTCAACTGACCAACGTAAAAAGCCCCCCGGCGAACCGAGGGGCTTCAATCTTTTCTAGTGCCTAGTGCCTAGTGCCTAGTGCCAAATGCCTCGCCTTACTTATCTTCCTCCGCGATCCCCATCCCCGAACGATCGGGACCGGGCGGCGAGGGGATCATCTTCACCGGCGGGTTGCGCTTCAGCTCGGCGAGCAGGTGGCGGATCGCGGCATCCAGCTGCGGGTCGCCGCCGTTGACCATCTTCGCCGGGTCGTCGACGACCTCGATGTCCGGGTCGACGCCGTGGCCCTCGATGCCCCACGTGCCGTCGCTCTCGTAGAAGGCGAACGTCGGGATGCGGGCCGCGGTGCCGTCGATGAACGCGGGGTTGAAGTTGAGGCCGACGAGGCCGCCCCAGGTGCGCGTCCCGATGAGCGGGCCGAGGCCCGCCTGACGCCAGAGGTAGGGGAACATGTCGCCGCCGGAAGCCGAGAGGCCGTTGATCATCAGCGCCTTGGGGCCGATGTGCATCCCGCCCGGGTTGTTCCAGTTGCGTCCGTCGCGCCGGGCCCAGTAGTTGGTGTTGGCGCGTCCGAACATCTCGACGAGGCGCTCGGGCACGAAGACGAACCCGCCGCCGTTCCACCGGTCGTCGATGATCATCGCCGGCAGGTGGGTCTGGCCGAAGAACTGGCGGAAGGTGTCGTTCAGGCCGTTGGTCGTCACGTCCGGGACGTACACGTAGCCGATCTGGCCGTCGGAGTTGTCCTCGACGTACTTCCGCATGCCCTCGACCCAGCGGCGGTATCGCATGCCGCCCTCGCTCGTGACGGTCCGGACGAGCACCTCGCGGGCGTCGCCGTCGATCTCGGGCTTGTCGCTCACGGTGAGCATCACGTGCTCGTTGCCCAAGCCGACGAACGCGGCCCACGGGTCCTTGCCCGTCTCGATCGGCGTGCCGTTCACGGCCAGCAGGTAGTCGCCCGCTTTCACATCCACGCCCGGCTCGGAGAGCGGGGAGCGGGCGTCGACGTCCCACTGCGCGCCGCCGACGATTTCCTTGATGCGGTACGCGAGCGCGCCGTCGTCGTCGGTGAGCTCGAAGTCGACGCCGAGCAGGCCGACGTTCTCCCGCGGCTCGTCTTCCTGCGAGCCGGGTCGGTAGTAGGCGTGGCCGACGTTGATCTCCGAGATCATCTCCTGGATGACGAACGTCAGGTCGTCGCGGACGACGCAGTCGTCCAGCAGCGGGAGGTACTGCTCGCGGACGGCGTCCCAGTCGACGCCGTGCATGCCCGCGTCGTAGAAGTAGTCGCGGAAGAGGCGCCAGGCGTCGTTGTAGATCTGCGTCCACTCGTCGCGGGGGTTGACGGCCGCCTTCATGCCGCCGGTCGGGACGGTGTCCTCGATCTTCTGGCCCTTCTTGGCGTCGATCACGGCCATGTTGCCGCGCTGCATGACGAGCAATTTCTTGCCGTCGGAGGTGACGTCCACGGCGCGGGCGTTCTCGATGACGTTCTCGACCTCGGGGTCGTCGGCGCTCATGTCGTAGATCTTGATGTCGCCGTCTTGCGAGAAGATCAGCGCGCCCTTGTCGTTGACGGTCAGCGCGCCGTAGTTGCCGTTGCCGATGGGCAGCATCATGGCGCGGGCCTCGAAGCCCTCGAGGTCGATCTTCATCGCCTCGACCTGCTCGGCTTCCTTCTCGCCGTCCTCATCGTCGGCGTCTTCTTCGCCCTCGCCCTCGTCGCCGTCCTTTTGCTTGTCGCCCTTCTTCTTGTCCTTGTCCTCGTCCTTCTTGCTCAGCGCGGGCTCCTCGTCGCCCTCGGGGAGCATGGGGCTCTTGACGTCCGCGCGGAGCGGGACGGCGCAGATCACCTCGGTGTCCGTGTACGTGAAGGTGATGTCGTTCGGGAGCTGATTGAAAGTGGGGGAGAAATGGCGGTTGGTGACCATGTAGAGCCAGTCGCCCTCCTGGTCGAACACGGCGCTGGAGACGTTGAACATCGGGTCGGTGACGCGCGTCAGCTCGCCCGTCGCGACCTCGTAGAGCCACACGGTGGAGTGGCTGTTCTCCTCGGTGAGTCGCAGGACGACCCAGCCGGAATCGCGGGACCACGCGGACGGGACCGGGTTGCCCCAGTTCTCCTTGGCGATGTCCGTCACCTCGCCCGACTCGACGTCCACGTACGCGAGGCGGCCGGTGTTGTCGGTGAAGAGGATCATCTTCGAGTTTGGCGACCAGCCGCTCAGGAAGCGGAACTTCTCGCCCTCGCTCGTGAGCTTGCGGGCCTCGCCCGAGCGGTCGGCGGGCATGACGTAGATCTCGTACTCGCCGCTCTCATCGGAGAGGTAGGCGAAGTGCTTGCCGTCGGGCGACCACTGGCCGTCGCGGATCGCGACGCCGTCGTTGTCGATGACGTGGCGCGTCACGCCCTCCGTCGCCGGGAGCGACCACAGGTCGCCCCGCGCCGTCACGAGCACGCGCTTGCCGGAGGGGGAGATCGAGCGCGTGGTGATGTTCTCCGAGAAATCGACGCGCTCGGCGCGGAGCGTGCGCCGGTCGCCCGGGACCTGGATGTCCACCTCGGTCAGCCGGTTGTTCGCGAGGTTGAGCAGGTACAGCCCGCTGCCGCTCTGCAGGACGATCTCGCCCCGCCCGTTCGGGCCCGGGCCGATCGCGTGGGACTTCACGTCGAAGTCCTCGAACGTGGTGAGCTGCTCGCGCGCCTGCGTGCGGACGTCGTACGACCACACGTTCCAGCGGTGCTCCTCGCCCATGTCCGAGAGGTAGTAGACCTTCTGGCCGTGGAAGTACGGCTGCGTGTCCGTGCCCTCCCAGTCGGTGATCTTGCGGGACTCGTAGGTGTCGAGGTTGAAGAGCCAGATGTCCGTCGCCCAGCCGCCGCGGTAGCGTTTCCACGTGCGGTTGTCGCGCGTGAAGAGGGTGTAGGCGAGCCAGGTGCCGTCCTCGGAGAGCCCGCCTTTGGCGCCGTAGGGCACCGGGAGCTGCTCGTACATCCCGCCGTCCGGGTCGATGGTGAAGAGCTGGTCGAGGCGGCGGTACCCGGCGAGGTCGGGCGTGTAGAACAGGAGCTTGTTCGTCGCCGTCCAGTCGTTGAGCGTCTCGGTCCCGGGGTGGTGCGTGACGCGCACCGCCGGCCCGCCCGCGGCGGGGACGGTGTAGATGTCGCGGTCGCCCTCGTAGTTGCCGACGAACGCGATGCGCGAGCCGTCCGGCGAGAAGCGGGGGAGGTCCTCGGGGCCGTCGGGGGAGGCGACGGGCACCGCCACGCCGCCCTCACGGGGCACGAGCCACAGGTCGTTCGCGTACGCGAAGACGATGTGCGACTCGCTCACGTCCGGGTGACGCAGCATCGCGCTGGAGGGACGGACGAGATCCTGAGCGATCGCTCCCGAGGTGGCCGTCAGGGCCAGGCCGAGAGTCAACAAAGTGGACGTACGCATACTTGCCTTTCACCGAGTGCCTAGTGCCAAGTGCCTAGTGCCTGTTTTGTCTTGATTCAGTTCAACCGCTTCATGATGTCGTCGACGGCCGCCTTGAGCTGCGCGTCGTGGTTCCGGGCCTCGTCCTCGGGCGTCTGCTCGACGACGATGTCCGGGATGGCGCCGTTGTTCTCCATGTCCGTCCCGTCGAGCAGGTACCACCCGCGGAAGGGCATGCGGACGAAGGTGCCGTCGATGAGCGCCGTGCCGCCGGTGGAGATGACGCCGCCCCAGGTCTGCTGGCCGACGAGCGTCCCGCGCCCGACGGTCTTGAACGCGTGGGAGACGATCTCCGCGTTGGAGAAGCTCTTCTCGTTGCAGAGCATGTTCACCGGCTTGTGCCAGCGCTGGATGTAGAGCCGGTCGCGCGGGTAGCCCTCGGTGTAGCTCGGGTCCGCGCCGCGAGGGACCGTGTACGCGTGCGGCTGCGCGGTCAGCGCCGTCATCACGCGGTCCGCCGTCCAGCCGCCGCCGTTGTTGCGGACGTCCACGAGCAGGCCGTCCTTGCCCGAGCCCGCGGCGTACAGATCGCGCTCGAACTCGTTGAGCGACGGCTGGCTCATCCCGCGGATGTGCAGGTAGCCCACGCGCCCGCCGGACCACTCGTCGACGAGCGCCGCGTTGCGCTCGCGCCACTCGTGGTACTTGAGCGTGTTGACCGCGCCGCCGGAGGTCGGGGTGATGAGCACGTTCAGCTCGGTCATCGCCCCGTCCAGGTCGCGCTCGATGGTGACGATCGTCTCCTCGCCCGAGCGGCCCTTGAGGCGGCCGCTGAGCGTCTCGCCGCCCTCGAAGCCCTCGAGTTCGATGCCCGTGATCCGGTCGCCGACCTTCAGCGCCATGTCGCCGTTGGCCGCGGGGCCGCGGTTGACGACGTGCGTGACGACGTACGCGTCGCCGTCGCGCTCGACGTCGACACCCAGCTCGCCGACGGACTGGCGGACGTCGATCCGCTCGCCGGGGGGGTAGATCCCGAGGTGCGAGGCGTTCAGCTCGCCGATGAAGCGCGTCGCGACGTGCGCGAACTCGTCCGCCGTGCGGGCGCGGCTCGCGCGGTCGTGGTACTTCCGCGTCAGCTCGTCCCAATCCAGGCCCTTCATGTCCGGGTGGTAGAAAGTATCGCCCAGGATGCGCGACGCCTCCATGAACTTCTGGCTCGACTGCTTCTCGAGATCGATGCGGATCTCGTCGCGGACGCCGAGCGTCTCCTCCTTGCCGCCGCCCGGCGGCACGGTGCGCGCCGAGCCGCCCCGGACGGTGATCACCTTCGAGCCGTCGAGCGAGACGTGCTGCACGCTCGCCGGGCCGCTCAGTCGCTCCTCGCCCGAGCCGTCCCACTTGCGCGAGTACAGGCCGTTCTGGCCCTCGGAGCTGGAGTAGATGATCCGGTCGCCGCCCGGCGTGACCTCGAGGTTGCCCTCGGAGCCGAGGTTGTTCGTGATGCGGTCCATCCGGAGGTACGCGTCCTCGAGGTCCTCGAGCGAGAAGGCCGGCTCGGGCTCTTCCGCGTCGTCGTCCTCCTTCTCCGCGTCCGGATCGAGGGGCTTCCGTTTCTTCGCGGCCTTCGCGGCGTCCTCGTAGTACTTCGTGCGGTCGTTCCCGCGGAGCGCCTCGAGCGCCGGGTCGAGGTAGATCCGGAAGACGTCGTTCTCGTCGTCCTCGCGCGAGGAGAGGAAGTACAGGACCTTCCCGTCGGCCGTGAACCGGGGGCTCGACTCCCGGTCCGGGTGGCGCGTGACGTTGACGGCCGCGGAGGCGTCGCCCATCGGCGCGATCCAGATGTCCGAGTTGAAGTCGCGGTCCTGCTGGACCCACGCGATCATCGACGAATCGGGCGACCACACCATCTCGCCGAAGAAGTCCCAGCTCTCGGTAAACGTCGAGACGTCGCCGGTCTCCAGGTCCTTGATCATGATGTCGCCGCGCGTGCGGTAGAAGGCGAGGTGCTTGCCGTCCGGGCTCGGCATCGGCTCGCGGTCGTTGAATGTCGTGTCGACGACCGGCGCGATATCGAACTCCACGCCCTCCGCCCAACGCTTGCCGTGCTCGGGCTTGTCCTTCTTCTCTTTCTTCTTCTCCGCGTCTTCGTCGGATTCCTCCTCGTCCCCCTCGTCCTCGCCGTTGTCGTCCTCGGCTTCGTCATCGCCCTCGGCCGCCTCGTCGTCGGCCTCTTCCTCGGCGTCCTCGGCCTCGGGTTCTTCCTCGGGGGGCGAAGTGGCTTTCTTGAATTGCTCCTTGATCTCGGAGCGCGTAAGCGTCACCGTCGCGGCGTAGATCGATTCGGTGCCCGAGCGGTCTGAAACGAAGTAGAGCGTCTTGCCGTCGGGGGACCAGGCGATCATGCGGTCGTGGGCCTCGCCCTCGGTGACGCGGCGCGTCGGGGCGTCCTCTTCGGTCCCGCGGACGAAGATCTCGCCGTACGCGACCACGGCGACCGCCTTGCCGTCGGGCGAGAGCAGCGCCTCGCTGGCGTCGCTCGAGATGTCGCGCAGCTCGAACTGCGTGGACTCGTCCTGCGGGGCGTTGACGGTCAACTCGACGGGCCGAGCGTTGCTCCGGGACAAATCGAGCGTGTACAGGCGGTCCCAGACGACGAAGGCGCACGTGGAGCCGTCTCGCGAGACGTCGAACTGCTCGACGTCCTCGCCCTCGAAGGCGGTGAGCCGTCGCACGCCGTCCTCGCCCCGACGCGTGTCCATCAGGTAGAGGTTGTCCGTCGTGAACTCGCGTTCGGAGAGGAACACGAGCCGGTCGTTGTCGACCCACTTGCCGATGCCGTCGTTCCCGTCGTCGGTGGTGAGCTGTGTGTAAGCGCCGGTGGCGGGCTCGAGCATCCAGAGCTCGTGCGCGTCCGGCCCGCGGTAGCCGCGCCGGTCGAAGGAGTAGCCGCCGCGCGTCGTGTAGAACCCGCCGCGCGTCAGCGCGATCTTCGAGCCGTCGGGCGATTCGTCCGGCCAGGCGCCGAAGGCGTCGAAGAGCCGCGTGATGTCGCCACCGTCCACGGGGACGCGGTACGACCGCGCGGCGCGGTAGACGTCGCCGTCGAGCGAGCCGTCGAAGTACAGGCTCTCGCCGTCCGCGGAGAAGCCGGAGAGCTTGAGCGTCGAGTCGGTGTCCGTCACCTGGCGGACGTTCGAGCCGTCCGCGTCCATGACGTGGATGTTCTGGTACCCCGAGCGCGTCGATTCGAACGCGATCTCCGTGCCGTCCGGCGACCACGCGCTGCGCGTCTCGCTCGCCGGGTTCGCCGTCAGCCGGACCGCCTCGCCGCCGGCGCTCGCGACCTTCCAGAGGTCGCCCCGCCACGAGAAGACGACCTGCGAGCCGTCCGGAGAGAGGGAGGGGAAGCGGACGAGGTCGACGTTCCCCGCCGCCCCGGCCGTCGACGCGACGCCCACGCCCAGCGCGATGCCCGCCACCCGCGAGCTCGACGAACAGGCCGCGAGCACCCCGACCCCGCCGATGACCAAACCCTTGAACGCACCGAGCAATCCTCGTCGCATAAACCGTCCTCCGCGTGTCGGCATGAATGGTGTTGTCGTCGCGCGACACGGGCACGTGAGCGGCGTCGCGACCGCGCGTGTGACGAATATACCCATTCAGTTGAGCGGCCGGGAGGTTGCGGGGCACGGCGATCGGCCCGCCCGAAATGTGCCCGGATCCGGGCACCGGCGCGTCCCTTACGGCAGCGGCGGCACGGCGAGCATGAAATTCGTGCCCGACGGCGGTGAGTCCTCGGTGTCGATCGTGATGCTGATCTCGCCCGTCGTGTCCGAGCCGTCCGGGATCGTGACGCGAACGAGCCGGAAGTACGACGCGCCGTCCGTGAACGAGGGGATCGGGTTCACCGTCGAGGGCTCGCCGAGCACGCCGTCGAAGATCCCGAAGAAGAGCCACCCCGCGTTGATCGTGCCCCCGAACGCGTTCGCGTCGTCGTTCGTCTGCGCCGGCAGCGTGAAGTTCGCGCTGCCGTGGTTGTCGATGAACGAATCGAACGCGAGGCACGGGAACGCCGCCACGACGCCCGAGCCGGGGTTGGTGTTGCTGCCCGCGTTGAACGGGTGCTCGACGAACGAGCCCGAGGTGAGCGAGATGCCGTCGTTGGAAAAACTCCCGCCGGACATCGTCGCGCTGTCCACGCCGACGACGCCGAACCGCGCGCCGAACCGCGCGTAGAGGTCGAACGTGCGCGTGTCCGAGAGCGAGACCTGCCCGTCGGTGCAGTCCATGCTGTTCACCGGCGCCCACACGAGCTGCAGGCCCGAGTCCTCGTCGCACACGTCGCCGATCCCGTCGATGTCGAAGTCCGCCTGGTCCGGGTTGAACGTGTCCGGGCAGTTGTCCGCCTCGTTGAGCACGCCGTCGCCGTCGCGGTCGGACTCGTCGATCGCGTCGTCGTCGCACACGTCGCCGATGCCGTCGCCGTCCTCGTCCGCCTGATCCGCGTTGGGCGTGTTGGGGCAGTTGTCGTCCTCGTCGCTCACGCCGTCGCCGTCCGTGTCGGTGTCATCCGGGGTGTTGCTGGGGTCCGGATCGCACAGATCACCGATGCCGTCGCCGTCCGCGTCGAGCTGGTCCGGGTTGTGCACGGTCGGGCAGTTGTCGACGTCGTCGAGCACGCCGTCGTCGTCCATGTCGTTGTCGACGGGCTCGTCGGGCGTGTCCGGGTTCGCGTCGCACACATCGCCGATGCCGTCGCCGTCCGCGTCCTCCTGCATCGGGTTCGCGGTCATCGGGCAGTTGTCTTCGTCGTCCGGAACGCCGTCGCCGTCCGTGTCCGTCTCGCCGCCCGTGAAGGTCCCGAGCGGGTTGTTGAAGTCGGGGTTGTCGTCCCAGATCTCCGTCTCGTTCGGCACGCTCACCGTCGTCACCGCCGGGAATCCGCCCGCGCTGAGCGTCACGGTCAGCGTCCCGCTCACGCTCGAGACCGTGCTCGGCGCGGTCAGCCGCGCGACCCGGATGAAGAACGCCTCGGAACCCGCGACGAGCGCGAGCTGCTCCGCCGCCACCCCGAGCGGATCGGTCGTGAGCCACCCGCCGACGACGCGGTTCGTGAATTGCACCGGCCCCGTACCGTTCGCGCCGTTCGCCAGGTCCACCTCGCCGCCCAGGTCGATGTAGGAATCGAACGCCAGGCACGGGATGTTCAGCACCTGTGTCACACTCGGCGGCTCGTCCGTCCCGTCGGGGTCCTCGTAAAAGTTGCCCATGCCGGAAATCGCGATGCCGTTGCTCGCATCGGACTGCACCGCCACCACGTTCGCCACCGAGTCGAACTGCAGGTACAGGTCGTTCGTGCGCATGCCCTCGACGTCCAGGCCGCAGTCGCGGTTGTCGACGGGGATCCACACGGCGGTGGTCGTCGCGGGCGTGCCGCCGCCGCCGAAGATCGGGATGTTCCCGCCGCCGCCGCCGCCGCTCCCGCCGCCGGTGCTGCCCCCGCCGCTGGAGCCGGACCCGCCGCCCGAGCCGCCGCCGGAGTTCCCCCCGCCCGTCG